AAACCGGGGTTTAATCGGCCGAATTTGGCCGGTTAAATAACTGTTATCAGTCGATTAAGCGTAATCGACGTTTAAAGTATTTGGTGAAAGCGGCCCTAAATCAYAGAAAAAATAAAAAAACAGTCAAGTACGCTCGGCCACCGTGGTAATTCACTTCGACAATAATGTATAATAGTGCTTTGTCACGTGTAGGTCATCTAGCGGCCGCGTGTGTATTGTCGCGTGGCCGGCCGCGCGACCGCTGTATGACTCCCGTCGACGTCACGCCGAACGTTTTGTCCGGTGATGTCACCAGTGAACACTTATTTTGTCACAAACAGCTCTCCGCTAATTATATTCCTTTTTTTAAATGGCCTAATGGAATACGCGAAACTATTGCTGTGGTCCAATAATTCTGACCACCAACCAAAGGTGATATTTTTGAAGACATGACGAGCCTAACAGTAAAATAATAATATACCTGCAAGCAATAATATACTGTCGTCAACGTATATTATATATTTACACGAATCGAATGCGTTTTTTTATTGTGTATTTTAAATTTTTTTACATAAAACATAGGCCACACGGACCATTATATAGTTTGACATTTACACTTAGAGTTGTGATTACATTGTAATATTATTGCATGGCTTAAATTAAGTTATATGGGTCTGGTCCTAATGTTTCTCCGATCTATTGTGAAATCTCCCTGAACGGACACCTCTAGATAGTAGACATTTTTTCGATAACGGGGACATTTTCACTGCTTATACAAGAAAGCCCCTAAATACCGGACAATATAAAAAATGGACACTTTTATGGCAGTTTCATTTTGATTTTGATTTTGATAATTTTTATTGTATATATAAAATAATCGTGGAATGCCTTTTTAAATATCTACCTATCATCCATATTATAGTTTTAAGCTTATATCTGTCCATTATCGTGTCGATGAAAACATTTTTCTAGCTTATGTTCTTCGAAGCATACCTAATACTGGTATTTTAATTGTGTTTGTGATTCCATTACATAGGAATGTATTATCACCAACGCAATTGCATTAGAAATTAATACCTCAATACACGAAATCACTATGCATCAAGGTCTTAACAAGCTAAAGTACCTAACTGATTTTTTCATATAATTGTAAATAATAATACTA